TCTGCTAGATTGTCAGTGAGTGCAACACATCAGGAAATACAGAAGTATTGTCTTCGCATTAACAAAAACCAGGTCTTTGGTGGATGGGTTAGGGTAGTAACCTCACCACGATGAACAAATTTTGCAGGGTTGAGGCTAATGATGGAGAAGAATACTTTGTATTCAATAAGCCTGCTGAGAGTAAGAATGTCAACAAACCATCACTTGTTACGAAGAACCCCTCTCGAAACACAAGTATGTCAGGAAGTTTTCCGCATGCTCCACCTTATAGAAAGTCAGGCTCCAAGACTCCTAAAGTCTTGCAGCCAAAGCACCTTCCCTCACAATTCCCTTTAAGTTGCAAAAATAACACGAAGGTGTGTACCGGTATGACGAATAGCAGTTGGATGGGTAGACCTTCGGATGCTATGCCTTTTAACCGTCAACCTAGGCCCAACCTCTACTACCCTTATATCCAGGAACACATGGTAAATTTTCCAGGTGTTCCGAATCACTGGTACGACCCATGGCACCTAGGACCACCTCATTGCATTCCGACCCCGATGTACAGACACCCAGTCCGACCCCCCTTTCATTCATAAATTCTTGCGGTGCTGACGCACAAATAGATTTAGGTTATGGTGACATTTTAAGCCAGTTTGTAGTATCCCGTGACTTATTCACGATATTGCTAATTAATGCACGTTCCTTAATCAATAAGATATCTGAACTAAGGACATTATTATTAGTCGCCAAGCCTACTGTAGCTCTGATTACTGAGTCATGGTGCTCATCCTCTGTACTTGATGTGCATATAGGTATCGATGATTACACTGTACACCGTGCAAAGCGTGGTGGAGGATGTCTCATATATATACATAACTCATTTGTAGTCAGTAAGGTGGAAGATGAAACAATGAATAATGTACCTGACTCACTCTGGGTTGTCTTACATGGAGATAAGTACAAACTTCTCATAGGCTGTGTTTATCGAGCACCAAGCGCAACAAAAGAAACTGATGCGTTATTAGCTAAATCGTTTGCACATGCATCCTCGTTTAGTGCTAATTACAAAATAATTGCAGGGGACTTCAATCTTCCAGAAGTCAATTGGCTAACTAGTTCCGGCCCCCAACGCTTCGACCACTATCGACTGTTATGGATGGCAACAACACGTCCAGACACCTACTCGTGGTGACAACATGTTGGACCTTGTTTTTTGTCATGACACAATCCCAGTATCCACGTATGTTGGTAATAGATTTTCCAGTAGTGACCATAGAATGGTACTCTGCTCTCTGCCTTTCTCACCACTAAATACAGGAAACAAACAAGACTCAGGAAGCACAATATGTCGTAGTTACAAATATACAGACTGGGGATTAGTCCAAGAACTTATTCGACTCTGTCAATGGGATGACTATTTTACCACTGACTCCCTGGAGGCCTTAGTAACCCTGTTTTACAGGAATGTTACCCTTTGTCTAGATACAGTTGCTCCAAAGAAAATAGTGAAATTAAGTAGACACCGAACTGAATATATTCCAAGGGCACACCGTAATAAGTTAAGGAAACTGAAGAAACAGTACTATTCCACTAAGGACATATCACTATTGCTCTCAATCCACGAGTCTCTTGAATCTATCAAGCGCCTACGCTCTCAAAAGGACCTCGACGAAGAAAGTACCTCCAAAGTTTATAACTTAACGGCACTTCTTAAAAAACGAATGCAGTCGGCGAGGGAAATCCCATACTTACTTCACGACAAAGTAATCTACAATGAACCTGCCACTATCTGTGAACTTTCAGTGATTGGTTTGCAAACTTTAGTTTAGAAACACATATGCCTGGTGAAACCGCCCCCCTTACTATCTCTTCCCTTGAAAGCATTGTGTTCACTAATCAATTAATAGTACAAGCAATTAAAAGCCTTAAACCTTCCACTAGTACGGGACCGGATGGCCTCGCTTCGATAATTTTCAAAAACAGTGGGTGTGATATACCCTGTTACTTCTTAAATTCTTCTCAATATCTATGGACACTGGCACTTACCCTAGTGAGTGGAAAACTAGCTTCATAATTCCACATTACAAATCTGGTGATAGGGCAAACGTCCGCAATTACAGACCCATAAATATAACCCCAGTTATCTCACGAATCATGGAGAAAGTTGTAAAAGATCAATTGTCAGACTACCTAATTAGGGAAGATCTTGTTACAAGGTCTCAACACGGATTTCTCAAAAATAGATCCTGCGTTACTTGCCACTTCGACTTTTTCAACTGCATCACTAGTAGTCGCGAAGCACGTAAGCTAGTCGTTGTTCTCTACTTCGATATATCTAGGGCATTTGACATGGTATCTCACAGTATTCTCTTTGAGAAGCTGTACTCTTGTGGAATTCGCAACCCATTACTGAACTGGTTAAAATCATTTCTAAGCAACAGGGTACAAATAACCAAAGTTGGATCTGTATTGTCTCATCCTAGGCAGATCTCAAGTGGGGTCGTGCAAGGTAGTGTCCTAGGTCCACTTTTATTCACAGTCTACATTAACAGCATTTGCAAGTGCTTCACCTCAGGCAAACCATTCCTATATGCTGACGACCTCAAAGTCGTCTACTCCTGCTACACTCATGAATTAAGCGATATGGTTACTAAAATACATCTTGAACTAAGTAGTCTCGCAACATGGTGTGCTGAATCCTGTCTAAATTTTAACATTGACAAATGCGGCTGGATTTGTATCGGCAACAGTAACCTTGATCTAACTCTTGAAATAAATGGGCGAAAACTAGCTAAGCTCAACTCAGTCGTAGATCTCGGTATTAGATACTCTAGTAACCTAACGTTCGCTGAACAGACTGATTATGCCAGACGTAAAACGCGAAGGCTGATAGGATGCATAACACGCAATTTCTTTTGTTGTGAAACTAGGGTTTTATTATACAAAGTATGTGTCCGACCTATCTTAGAATACTGCCCGTTTATTCTTAGCGGACTCAGACAAAATGACAAGCTTAAATTAGAGGGAGTGCAACGGCAGTTTACCTCAAGAACTCTTGGTTTAGAAAGTGGTCTGGAATACCATGAGCGATGCGAAAGACTAAGATTAGAACCCCTCTGGAAAAGACGCCTTAAGCTAAACCTTATCTTTTACTATAAGCTAACTAATCTTCTCTTGCATTCCTCCGAGCCAATAACTAAACCTACCGCTGTCATCAGTTACAATCTTAGAAATCATCACAACCTAGCTGCTATAGAGCACTGTCAGACTTACGTGCGGTACAACTTCTTCTTAAATAAGTTTTCAGTCATTTGGAATAGACTACCAGCTAATGTGCGCGATGCAAACACACTTCCAGTGTTCATCTCCTCAGTCACCAGACTGCTCAAAGATGACAATGCACTTCTACGTCTGACTCTTACACCCTCTTTTTCACCCTACATAGATATTTTAAGTTCTTTAAACGTGTAGTTACAACAAACTACAATTATAAATTTTAATATTATTGGAACTAGATGATAAACATTTCTACACAGGACAGTAATATTAGTTCACACATAATATAAAAGTTAGCATAACGGGACTAGTTAGTTTGTGAACAAAAATAACCATAGTTACTAGACAGAATATATATGTGTATATTTATTAATCACTCCTTAAGGACTCCCGTTGCTTTCTTTTGCGTTGCTGTTGTTTGTCTTCTTCTTTCTCTCACCATTTCAGCTTCCATTTGACTTTTTGAATGAGAATGAATAATGTGGATATTTGACCATTTACAATGACAAATGATCTGCAAACATTATTGGTCCCGTATCTTTCAGTTGCCTGGTTAATAACGAATTAACTTTCCCCACGACGCAACCTGGATTACATTTGTGGAATATACTCTTATACCAATGGAAAAGTATCAATTTGTAATACAACGTCACGATTGTAGCTTATAACATAACTGATCGTATCTGTAAAAATAGCTTCCTTATTACCCAATTTGGATATAAATCAAAAATGAGATTCGGATTTGTACACACCTAAGTTATATTGTGGAATTACTTCAAGCTTTATTTTTTCCCAAGTATTTTTAATCCATCCAAAACTTACTTGGGTTTTTTTGTTAATGCGAAGTCAATATTCCTATATTTCATGATGTGCTCCATTGAATGACTGGTTATCATATTTTTCCCACAAACCAAAGACAGAAACGTCAGCAACCATATAATTTAACCATAAACCAAATTCATGAAATTTAAATAATGCTTATCCATGCCTATACATTTGGTGTGTCCTACACAGGTAGAAAAAATTTGTATTTTATTAAACGTTATTAATAAGTATGATTGCAAATCGTAGATGTAATTTATCAGGCTGATGATGCCTGTAAACTGGCGTCCCTCATGTACAGAATGAGAATATACCATTATTATTATTATTCGTAGTATCATGATGTCCACTTTTGGCTTTAATACAATTATTTTCTAGCCAGTTGGTTTTATTTCATGCCTTTTTGTCTATTTGTTGCACAACCGTACCCTACAGAGAAAAGGAATAGAATAAGTCGAAACAAATTCATAAAGAGCTATAAAATGTTAGGTTTAATGGAATAAAATGAGGTACAAGTGAAGACGTTTGTCATTGTAGTTGAAGATTGAACGATCAATTCATGGTTGTTTGCTCAAACCCAACTTCCCCAATTTTCGCGGAGGCATCAATACGACAGTCATTGTCTCATCGGTCGCTGTTCAGAAAGAAGCCAGCAGAAAACCGTCAGAAGTAATATTGTGATTTATTATTGTAATATTTGTTCACAGACCTGTGGTGATTGACAATTTCTATCTCTGTATTGTTTAAATACTTACTGTTGACCGTTGATATGTTTCTTATATGGATTGCAGAATAATTCCGCTAAATACAAATTCCTGAGTTCTGCCCTCTCTGTGTTTTGTTTGGATTCGTATAATTCGGTCATCTCGAAATACTAATATTACGATTACAATAAATTATGACAAATTGGCGTCGCGATGGAGCTAAATAACCTGCGAAAATTTCCTATTAATGGGTCTCCGCGGGAGATTGCTGATTATTTGGAATGCTTCGATGCGTGGTGCATTTCAAAGAATGTTCGGGATGACAAAATACCAGCACATTTCATCACTGCTATTGGGCTTGATGCATATAGCCTAGTGAAGAATCTGGCTTTTCCAGATAAAACCATTTCTCTGCCATATTATAAACTCCGTGAACTTCCGATAGATCACTTCCATATAACTACTTTTGAGACGCGAGAGAGGGCTCAATTCAACAAACTGGTTCGTGCTCCCAACCAGAAGATTCGAGACTTTATTCTGCAACTCCAAATACAAGCTTCAAAGTGTAATTTTGTAGATCAGCTGCATACTCAACGACGTGATCGTCTAATTGCTGGAACCAATATTCCTAAGTTAGAGAAAGAGTTAATTCAGATTCCTTCTTGTACTTTTCAAACTGCTAAAGATTTATGTATTACATATGAAGATGTCAATAATGAATACTCTGCTCCCACTACGTCAGTATCTGATGTCATGCTGTCCAAAGTCGAAAATACAAGTGTTCATGGAAAGAAATCCAAACTGCCGTCCACAGGTAATAGAATGCAGCCAGAGATCAAAAACATTAAACCGTGTTTATCCTGTGGAAAGTTACATCTACGAAGCACTTGCCGTTTTCGGAGTGCTAAGTGCTATAAATGTGGTAAAGTTGGACACATCAAGACGGTTTGCAGAAGTTCGAATACTTATGTTGCTCAACATTCTTATAATTCTCCCAAGCTGTCTAGTAAAATGGAGTCAATGTGTCTTTCAACCTTTCAAAATACTCAAGCTAATCCAATGAAAACCTCCACTACAAGTTCGGAAACTCAAGTGTTAACTGTTTTCAAAAATGTGGAAGCCGAGTTACAATGTGAACTGTCGAAAACACGAAAAGACCTGAATGAGATGAGAGAGTAACTGATTAAAATTGAGGAATTACTGCATATGCGTAGACTGCGTCTGTTGAATGCAGAGCATACAAGTACCCGTGAAAGTCCTGCAAAACTTTTCAAATCTCGAATTCTCAAAAAGCATCTGATGTACACGACTTCTAATGTACATTATTACAGGGGGGATGACTATAGACCTTCTGTTGGAATTGTACTACAAAAAATTGGAAATCGAGTGGTGAAGATATTAGACATCAAAGATCACTCAGTTCATAACAGACACCTGGACAAAGTGACAATAAATGAAGTAGGTCGTTCCAATTATCATTTTAATGATTCCGCTAATAATCCTGATTTTGTAGATAATTCAGAAATAGGTCTAGATAATACTGATGAAAATAATATCACAGAATCAGTTAGGTCGCAGCTAATTTCAAGCAAACCGAGACATCGTTACAAGAACGCAAGGAGACATTCGACGTGTGGCGGATGTGGTGATTGAAAATTTCTATCTCTGCATTGTTTAAATACTTACTGTTAACTGTTGATATGTTTCTCATATGAATTGCAGAATAATTCCGCTAAATACAAATTCCTGAGTACTCCTCTCTCTGTGATTTGTTTGGATTCGTATAATTCGGTCATCTCGAAATATTAATATTACGAATACAATAAGTTAGTACAAGAACTTATGTCAGTCAAGTCTCGTAAACCGTTAATGCTCAGCTCTTGATGCTCTCGGGCTCACGCTGTTCGTTGAAGTTTTTCAGAAACGCTTAGTAATAACGGACGCAAAAACGAAAACACCAATTGGCGACTCGAGGATTCTTTATTGTAACACCAACACGTAAACGCTGTTACAACTAAGGTCTGTGAACAAATATTACAATAATAAATCACAATATTACTTCTGACGGTTTTCTGCTGGCTTCTTTCTGAACAGCGACCGATGAGACAATGACTGTCGTATTGATGCCTCCGCGAAAATTGGGGAAGTTGGTTTTGAGCAAACAACCATGAATTGATCGTTCAATCTTCAACTACATTGACACTCCCCGCCAAGAAAGTGATCCATCCCTTTTTTCCATCACGACCAATACACGTTGACTTGGATGCCATTGCGAGAACCTGGGTCACACGGACAGAGCTGAAATGGAAAACAAACAGAAAAGCGAACACACCACATGCATACCCACAGCACAATCTCACACATCGATGACGACCTGCGCTTCCAGATAAAGTCCCCCTCTTGACATCTTGCAACACAATCGCCACTTGCTAGAATGACTCTTGCAGAATGCAACGTGACCATAGCAGCACCCCACGATACTCTACACACATCCTCTTATCTACTCACTACCAATTACCATTGCAATCGCTTGTCACTCATTCTGCCTCAGTTCTAGTAACGGTGACGTATGCGAGCCTCAGTCGTTTACACTCTTTCTCCCCGGCGTGTGGGACCGCAGCTAACAATTATCTCCGTGTGCATTTCATTCTCAGCAATAGCCTCCCCGGCGTATACGACCTATCTGCTGTCCTTAGCATCAATCAATTCATTCACGGATGTAGAAGACAAGAAACAACTTCAGAAGTAATCACGACGAAAATTTTAACAAAATTATGCGATAAAAACAAGGTACGAAAACAACGAGTAAACACAATCAATCCAAAAACACCACCAACTGATATGACACACCACACGTATATAGAAACAGTACACACAAACTCGCAGTTAATGTCTTGATGGAATTCCTTTGAAGAATCGCAAGACTTGCACCAGTACGCCTACAACCCTTCTCACGTTGACGATTGTAAGTTGTGGAATGTCCGGACACAAACAAGATTAACCAACAATTACAATAATTGGAACTCACACAATTATTTAACACAAACATATGTACAATCAACACATCAAATGTTGTGCATTCTGGCACGACAAACTACCCGTGAAGAACTGTACCACTTAAAGCAGTACGCCTACATTCCTTCTCAGTTTGATGATACAAGTGGAAGTCGTCCGGTCACAAACAGAATTATCAACAGCTAGATGATAGATGATATCAATTCAGTATATACAATATGAACATATGTACAAAATCACACACCAAGCACATTGGACTGCTCATTGATGCGCTACCCTTTGAAGAACTGTAGGACTTACACCAGTACGCCTACAACCCTTCTCAGGTTGACGCTCTAGGTTGGAAAATCGTCGCAGAGTTCATTTGCAAACTTCCTTCTATGCGCTATATCCTCAAATCTGAACGGTAACACGCTCATGTCATTGTATCGTAGAATATAGATGACCAACAAACACACGACATATCTCATCAACCAAGTGTAGAAACAGAGTAATTTACACCAAAGATAATAACATTCAATTAGTAACTTGAAACTAGAAATGCCTTGGTTCATGCAAGTCAGTTTAACAATTACTCTCTCGTTTACACTTGGCTTATCCTCACCAAACTGACCATTGATATTCGTCCTTTCAAGCGAACTGATACTAGCATAGTAATTGCACAAGTTACTTGAGTTGATGGGCGTCTGTTTCATTGTGGATGACAACACCAACGACGACTGATTGATACCAGTTGATGAAGTTAGCGGCGGATCAAAAGCTGTTGTTGCTCGACTTTCATAAATTTGTCTACCTGCAAGACCACCACCACTGCTGTCTTTTACTATCAGCTCAGGTTTAGCACTAGCATCTGATGATAGGTGGGCTACATGCTGATCACTCACACTGACGGTCTCACAAGTATGCATGCCTTCTGCAACTGCATCTGCATTTAATTCTACTTCACGTTCAAGTTGTACAGAAACTTTGTTCAACTTAGCAGTAGTAGGCATATCCCTCATCTCATCATGATCAACCAAAGACAGATCTGCACTATCGTGACCATTATCACAAATATTCAATTTACCGTCAAGTTCATCATTTTCAAACTCTTTAATAACAGAAGTAGACAATTTTGGTTCCTCCTCACAAATCATTAAAGGTTTTATATCTTCACTCTGACTAGTTATACTTTGTAAACTTTTGGAGTCAGAACTGCACTCTGAAGCAGTAACTCCATTCTGTGACACTCTATTCAACAACGGCTTACCAGTTGCAACTACAGACTTCTTCACAACACCGTTATCGTCACACAATTTGGAGTCAGGCCTGGAGTTTACATTTAGCTTATCACTGAACTTGCTCACCGGTTCACAGTTCACCTTTGTATGCACCTCTTGCAAACATGTAAAACACAACCGTGTTTGTCTTGCATCTTGCAACTTATCTGTTGAGGATGTACTACGAAACCTGTAACACTCACTAGGTCTATATGCATTACTAGACATCGTGAAGCCTTCTCGATATCCACCTCTCTGAGGCCTATTCGTCATCAATGATTGCGTTTTACCGTTAGACTGCACTATTCTAGGGGTGAGATCCAATATACTGGCAAAGTTGCTCATAGATTGATTGACACTATCTTTTACTAGTTTCAGGATATCATCAAACCTTGGCTCGATACCCTCATCCTCCATACGGGAGCTTATCTTCACCCACTTCCTTTGCAGTCGAGTAGGTAGGCGTCTTGCTATTACTTCTAGTATAAAACCCGAGTTGAGGTCACTCATGCAATTCATCGAAATCATTGCATTCTTGTAAATTAGCAAATTATGTAAAAACTCAGTGAGTGCCTGGGAGTCATCCTCTAATTGACCACCATTACCCTTAACAGCCTCGAATAATTTCCCTATAATCATCGAAGGTCTTCCAAACCTTTGACGTAATATGCTCATAGCCTCGTAGTAGCCCTCTTTTGGCTTCATAAACTTACAGCACTGTATAGCTCTTGCAGCATCTCCAGTGCAATACCTCATCAAACACATTAACTTCATTTCATCAGTTAATAAAACACCACTCAACATGATTTCAAATTCCCTTACAAACTGTAAATAATCAGCTGGGTTTCCGTCGAAACACCGTGGTTCAAATTTAGGGAGTTTGATGTTCATATTATCCCTGAACGGCGAAACAGTAACATCAACCATGTCATGCTTAACATCAGACACATCGTTACAATTAACAGACAAGTCACCATGGCTTACTTTCCTGTTTGCATCCAAGACGCTCTGTCCCTTCTTTGACCCAGGGATTGTTGAACTTGACCCAATTCCAAAAACGTTCCAGATATTGCTTGTTCAAAGAGGACTTGACCGGCACCAGGAAAAATCAACGGAGACTATCCAAACTTTCACTAACTGTCTGAATCCGCCAAAGTCTGTTTCTACCATCAGAAACTGTCAGTCACGTCTCGTAAACCGTTAATGCCCAGCTCTCGCTACGCTCGGGCTCACGCTGTTCCTTGAAGTTTTTCAGAAACGCTTAGTAATAACGGACGCAAAAACGAAAACACCGATTGGCCGCATTGGAATTACTTATCGTAACACAAACATACAAAAAATATTTCTACTAAGGTTTCTGATGGTTTACTGCTGACTTCTTTCTGAACAGCGACCGATGAGACGATGACTGTCGTATTGATGCCTCCGCGAAAATTGGTGAAGTTGATTTTGAGCAAACAACCATGAATTGATCGTCCAATCTTCAACTCCATTGACACCTTAGTTGTAACAGTGTTTACGTGTTGGTGTTACAATAAAGAATCCTCGAGTCGCCAATTGGTGTTTTCGTTTTTGCGTCCGTTATTACTAAGCGTTTCTGAAAAACTTCAACGAACAGCGTGAGCCCGAGCGTAGCGAGAGCTGGGCATTAACGGTTTGTGAGACGTGGCTGACAGTTTCTGACGGTGAAATAGCTGGTGACAGTTGGATAGTCACCATTCATCTTTCCTGGTGCCGGTCAAGTCCTCTTTGAACAAGCAATATCTGGAACGTTTTTGGAATTGGGTCAAGTTCAACAATCCCTGGGTCAAAGAAGGGACAGAGCGTCTTGGATGCAAACAGGAAAGTAAGCCATGGTGACTTGTCAGTTAATTGTAACGATGTGTCTGATGTTAAGCATGACATGGTTGATGTTACTGTTTCGCCGTTCAGGGATAATATGAACATCAAACTCCCTAAATTTGAACCACGGTGTTTCGACGG